AAATGTCTTAATATATAAAAATGTCTACATGCCCCAACCTTCTAACAGCTCTACTTGGGAAATCTGGGTGCAGGTTCTTTGTTCCCTAGCTGTCTACCCCATCCTTGCCTTTGTTCGTTGGTCATGTTGTGCAAGCTCTGAAACTTGTGTTAGACTTCAGCCTCGGTAATACTCACAACAGAGGGAATGCACCAGTTCTTTTAGAAAGATCTGTAAATATGGGCAAAGAAAAATGTTAGATTTGCACACGGATATAACATTGCTAGGGTTGGAAGCAAAAGTGTCTTCACCTCAGTCCAGAATCTTGTTTATTGTTTATTGATTTACTCTGCTTGGATACCACCCATTCTCTAGAGAACTAATAATCAATGATTTAACACACACACCCCCATTGATGCTTTTTCTCCTCCCCCGAAGGTCGAGGAAGTTAGAAAGTATATCTCCAAAATCTCAGATGTTGTGGAAGAAGTGAGGAAGAAGCACAGTGTTATCCTCTCTGCCACACATCCAAAAGACAGTAAGTTTTTCATCTCTGCGACTTTTAAGTATGGTGGCCGAAGTTGCATGGAAAAGTCACAGTGGGTGGCTGCTAGCGTCTTTAGAGCATCTCTTTAAAAAAAAAAATTCAACACAATTTATAATGCCATAATTTTACTGTAGCCAATTGCTAGGACCCAATTCTATTGGTTTTATAGTCTGTTTATTTCTTGTTGTCAGTTCCTAACTCTCTCCTATGAACTGACCAGTTGTACAATATTCATATCTTGGCGTAGAGCATCTGAAGGATACCACCCTGGGGAAAAATCACTGCAAAAAATTGTTTGAAAAGCAGCAAAACCACTATTTAGCAGATCATGATGCAACGGGCTTCAGATGCAACGGATGAAATTTGTGTTGTGTTTACGTCATTTTATGTCATTTGCACCACGAGTTTACTGTGGATAACATATTGTCCAATTCAACAGACAATTGGGAATAGACAACACCCACTCCCCTAATTCAGGGTTGCTCAACCTTGGCGACTTGAAGATGTGTGGACTAC